TACATTGGATACAAAATTGGTGAAATAGCCGGGAAAACCTATATTAACATGATTGTTTATTATTTTGTCCATGAGTTAAAAAATGACGATTTGGTAATTTGATACCCGATGACGTCATGAAGATGTACCCTCTTTATCAGGGTTGATTTTCGTTCCATGTTTCAAGTTCCTGCTGGGAACAGGTTGAAGAAAAGTCGCTGAGAATGACGGTCCGGGGAAAAGAAAGAAAAGCTCGTACGATTCTAAAACGATGGCCGGGTTGTGGCAGATTCTCCAAATATAAATATAAGCTGCCGTACTCAAGGATAATTAATTTCACTAAAAGCGTGATCACTGAAGCCTTTCTGTATTTTATGTTATGTCATTTATAATTCATTAACCACCGGAATACACATAAAGGAACGCAGTCATCAAGTGCTTGCTTTCTGCTTCATTGCTTGCCAGTATTGTTGATAGGTTATTAAATATGAATTTAAAATTTCCTCCATCGTGGATTTTTTAATGATGATTTTGCACTTAAATGCAAGCCAGTAGAATCGGACTTACAAGAGACTGACTGAGACCTCATAGTGTGTAAATTCATGTACATCTTCCTGATCCGAAAGTCACAGGGAGCAATGATACTGGGAAGAAGTAAAAATATTCAAACGATATGAGACAGGGAGGTACTGATAAAGGGGATGATTCAGTCGTTGGTTAATGAGTATGAAGACAAACATTGGTTCAATGCCTTTTAAAGTATGAAGAAGTCAGCCAAGAATAGGCCCACCTTTTCAATATAGGTTTTCCCAGAGAAATTCCGATTTGTTCTAATCAGTTTCATTATCAGCCATTAAATTTCGCGTGAGTTTTGCACATGTGGTCAAATTGGCAGTAAGCCATCGAGCAACCCTTTCCCACAAATGTTTTCAATTAGCAGATTTTGGATGACTAATTTGAAAGAAAAAACCCTAAACTAAACAGTGTCTTCCTGAAATGACATCACAGTAACAGTGCGCTCATACGTAGTCCAGAAAAAGCATGGACACTTTTAAATGTTTAAAGAAGTGCACTTTTGCAATAAGATTAACCAAAAAATGTTGTCAAATGTGTATTTTTTTTACATTTCACAAAGAGTTAAACAAAAAGAATTCCTGAGAAAAATTCATTGCACATACCCTTTAATTGAGAAAGAAAGGCTTCTTCGGAATGAAGACATTGAATATGAGTAACGCTAAGGAATACGGACACGTATGTAGTCTTAAAAGATGTTTGACAAAATGTGAAATATGTTTGCCCATTAATGAAAACGAATGCCCGATCAACCCCTAAATGCTGCGTTAGACAAAATTAAATGAACAACGCGAACTTTTAATATGAACGCATCTTTGATGGGGACGATAATGAATTGAATAATTCTTTTTGATTGTGAAATGCCGATCTGCGTGATCTTTCAATGTCAATCTAAATCGAATGAGCTAGGCGTTAAAATGAGTAAAAACGTGGTGAAATTGGCCGGGAAAACCTATTATAAGACAAATATCACTGTCGATTCAAATTAAAATTAACAAATTGGTCCACGGTTGTCACTATTTTTATTATAGGCTTTCCCGGCTATTTCAAAACGTTCTTCATTCGAATTCACTGTTTCTAATATTCAAATTCGTCCATCAACATCCATTTAGTGCACTTCCAATGTTTAATTGTGTCTTTGTCAGACAATTTCAAATTCAGTTCATACAAGCAAATTCAAACCATGATTACACGTTTTCGTCCGGGAGAATTCTATCTCGTCTCATCTACGCCAAACCTTTCAAATACGTCTTATTGATTTATATAAGACGAATTCGATCTCTGAATGCTACCATTCGGAAACAGTTTAGACGAATTTAATCTGTAATGTCGAATATTCTCGACCCGGTGACTAAAGAGGGTGACAAAACTTTGTAATTAAATGGTAAATGACTAATTTAAGTGGTTTTCTTTAAGCATTTGATTTTTTTTCTCGGACGAAATTGAATTTTAGAGTTGTTGAATTTGAATGGAAATGTTTTTAAATAGCCGGGAAAACCTATAGTATCTTAAAACGTAACATTGCCAATGCCTTTCTGGTAATATTGTTCCTCTCATCAATTTGATCATAAAGTAAGCCTCGTTCATTTATGATGCAGTTACTCCGGGAAAATACAAAAAAGAGGCACAACCATTAATTGCTAGTTTTCTGCCTCGTCTTTTCGCCCAAATGTCAATTAGGCATCGATAAAAATAAATAAATTAAGTCAAATTATCCATGACATTTCAATTGTGTAGTTCACTGAAAAGCAGAGCCAAAATAAAAAAAACTGAAAGCGGATTACTCCATGAACTTATGTTTTTTCATCACAGAGTTTTGGCAACCCCTCGGGGTAACCCATCGGATACGCACCAATGGCGGCGATTTCTAGTCAGGATTTGGAAGGCACAGCTGCGTCGACAGACGAATCTCCGGGGGGGGGGGAAGGAAGGGGAGATTGTCATGCAGGCATATTAATGGTTCGAGCTTAGTGGTAGCCCGCTAGCCAAATGCGAGTAAATACACCGGCGGGCTAGTCAAAGCACTTGTTACATTACAGTGTAATAATACGTTGGTCTTGTTAATGACTTATACTTTTATAAGGAGATATTTCAAGGGGGAATTAACTTAAATTATGTGGTATAGTTTAATGTTTGTAATGTAAAGTTGAATGTATTTTAAAGAGGTTGTGGAATGCGCGAAGACATTTCCGTCATTCTTCGGGTATATGTAGCCTAAGGTGAGATAAAATAAAAACGACTATTGTTTCTGTCATAAAATGAGTACAAAAGGTACTTTTGAGAGCTGATCTTCAAGTCCTGTCATGCCTGTTCCGACCCGAAAGTGTGCTTTGTGTAAAAGTCGTCGTTGCGGGCAGCAAACAAAACACAGTAAATCGTGACGTTATAAACAGGACTCCCGATGCAAAGTAGCATAAACGAGTCCTGTTTATTACGTCACGATTTACTGTGTTTTGTTTGCTGCCCGCAACGACGACTTTTACACAAATTGCACGTTCGGGTCGAAACAGGACCTGAAAAATAGCTCTCAAAAGTACCCTTTGTACTCATTTCATGACAGAAACAATAGTCGTTTTTATTTCATCACACCTTAGGCTACATATACCCAAACAATGACGGAAATGTTTTCGAGCATTCCACAACCTATTTTGAGCACAAAAACCACGACACCTTCTATTGTATACCACTGTATATAAATGGCAATCAACCAAATCAATCAATCAATCAATCAATCAGAACTATTAAAAGTCCCCCTGGCGAGTCAAAATTATTGAAATAAGGCATGCAACATTTTCGTGTATCCGCGGATTTTAGCGTTTTTAATGGGAATTGCGGCCTAAAATCCCCGAAAATGTCATGTTTTGGATTGATTAATACTTATCCTATTTCAAAGGTCTGGTTGAAAGGAAACTATAGGTTTTCCCGGCGAATTTCCGCATTTTTCTAATCAGTTTCAATATCAGCCATTCAATTTCGCGTGAGTTTTGCACATGTGGTCCAATTAGGGTTTCTTTTTCATTTGGGTTTCATTCAATTTCATTTTTAGGCAGCCAAGATTTTGCTGTGAATGTTCGTTTTCGTTTTCGGGCAGCCTATTTCGTTTTGGTGCTTTCAAGACTTAACTCGTAGCAGTCTGAAATTTAGTCTTTGCAATATTTTTACGGTTGACGCATTCAAATTAGCGAACATCTGTGCGCTTATAACGTATTACCATGCTTTTCGTTTCTTATTCGTTTATGGGCAATCGCTTTCATTGTTTGATCATTTAAATTAGTAAGATTTTTTAATCGATATTTTTTCCTTTTTTTCTCCGAGGTTCATTCCCCCCTCAAAGTATCTCGTTTTACTATCTTAATCAACTGCTTATTTTCTCGGTTAAACGATTTATTATCTTGTTTAAACGATTAATTATCTCGTTTAAACAACTTGTTTATCTCGTTTAAACGACGGATTTTATCTGGTTTAAACGACTTTTTTATCTGGTTTAAACGACTTTATCTTATAAATTAATAATTTGTCTCTCGTTCAAACGAGCCTAGGCGCACTATTAAAGTGAAATTCGCGCTACTAAGGTGTTCCCCATCTGCCCTCTCGCATCTCGCATCTGGTGTGGATGACCTGACCTTTGTGTCGCAAGTTGTAATATGCACATTTTGAACAATTATCATCTCGACTCATGCAAACGCAATTGGCATTTAGGAAGGAGACGAGGCAGGCATGAGTTTACAATCAAGTAAAAGCTTTATGTGGCCTCTCTGGGCTCCCTTACGTTTTGTACTAAATAAATGTAGTCGGGCACCATATGCAGACGTTGTTGTAATTTTGTAATTGTGCGTCTGGCAGCCAGACTGAGGGAGTTGTGGTCATGTATCTGGAACATGTAAACGCGTTTTAATTAGCGCAATTAACCAGCATAATAACCAACGTGGCAGCTCATGCACGATGTCGATATCGCTGTAGTGTGTGGTCCTACGTTACCGTTTTCTCTGACTTTTGTCTTGACTATCCAAATTTCGTGTATTTTTAGTATTTTGGACATGTCCGGGATGTTTTTCTTTATCTGTCGACATAGCTTCCTGAACTAAAACAATCACACCACAAATATGATATGAGAGATCAAACTAAAGAAAATAGTATAGACAAGAATACATAATTTTGAAGTTAATCGTGTGCTACTTCATTCAATTTTGTTCTGCGATCATGAATGCACGCGCCATCAGTAGTACCGATCGATAGTAGCGCAGCAGCGACATGCAAATGGGGGGGAGGGACTCAAATGCGTCCCTGTAACGGCGGGCAAGATAGAGGGCTCCCTTTCATAATTTTAATTGACATTGGAAGCACTCTGGGTTGCGGAAAAAGACCCATTACTATTTTCTTTTTCTTTTTTATTGAAATGGGATTCGGTACAAAACCTGTTCTCGAAACAATCGCACATTTTTCCTCAGGTGACTCTTCGTGCTCTGTGGAGGGACCTCTCGGGATGGAAGATGGTCGCATCCCGGATGAACGCATCACAGCTTCGTCTTTTTGGCAGAACCGCGCTGATCATGCCCCACCCAGGGCCAGGCTTAATATTCAAGGTAAACATTTGTATTTCAGACTAACCACGTTATACTTCGTACAGCCATTTAAAAGACAATACAGTTGTTTAACCCTAAAGGGGCCGGGGCGAAATCCGCCCCCCCCCTCAACTTTTTCCGCGATAGCCTTGAAAAAAGAATGTCGCGACCCGAGCTGTTCGTCTGACTTTTTAGCTACGAGCCTTGCCCATCTTTTGATACCAAAAACATTTTTAAAAAATTCCGACGCAAACTGAATTTCCCCATAAACGTAGTGTACACAGAGCATTCGTGCATATGAATAATTAATTAGCCATAATTCCAAAATCCTTTGACCTATAGTCATGAAATTTCTTGGGTATGTTCATGGTAAGTGCATGTACTGAGTTTCAAAATTTTTCGTCACTCGATGGCCGACATCTTAGGGGGCTGAGAGATGGTCCAAATAACCTGGCCCTTTTAGGGTTAAAGGGATATTATACGGCTTGAAATTCACGAAATTATTATGTTGTTAGGGATGTTTCTTTTTACTATTTCAAATGTCTGGTTGAAAGGAAACTAACCTAATGTCTTACCGTTCCTGAGAAAAGACGGATTAACAGTTGTTTACATCGCACGCGGTGGACTTTGTGGCATACATATACGCATTTCCCGACGTTTTCATTCAATGTACAGTTCAAGTCGTGTGTGTCACAATACACAAAGTACTAACACAAATGTTGTTTCTCGCACGTCCGCATTATCAATACACTGTGTCATGCCAGATTCACAACTAGCACTAAACAGCTCTATTTTTGAGACTCACTATTTTGACACCCAAAATTAGTTGTCGCATGGTTCACGCAAGAATCACACAAAAATAACCAGTTTTAAATGATGGTTGTGTAAACGTTTATGTCTTACCATTAAATGCTCTTTCCATTTAATATAATTTCATTAAAATGCATTTTGTAGCCCAATTGGGCGCATTCGCAATGTCCCTTCAGTTGCACAATTTACTGCTCGATTTGTGGTTGATTCGTAGTAACCTAATCCATTACGACTGTGCACTAAAAAAACGTGCGGACGTCAATAGTCGGACGATATCGGCAAAATGTCATCAGGAAGTTATATGGGTTAAGGGTCCCTGCTGCGCATTGTGATGCGTGCAGCTATCGTACGCGTAACCAGCAATGCGACCGACCACCAAGGCGGCCCCGAAGAGCCGACAATACGTTGGGCGTCGCTGCAGGGGGGTGGGGTGTCACAACCCCCATTAGACATTTTTGTCGGTGAAATCATGGTGCTGTCGGCAAAAAAGTGAAGAATAGAGAAAGAAGTAACAGAAAGAGAGAAGAAGAAAATATTGAGAGTGTAAATAATAGACACCGTTGCTCAAAACCCTGCGAAGCTAACATCCGGTTCTGAATTCCTTGGCAAAAAAAATTGTACACTGTGTCAAGACTGTCATGTCGGCACGAGCTGCCGCGCGAGCTCGCTTCATATATGGCGGTTGACAGCTACGGCTAAGTGATGACTCAAAACCATGGATCAAGCTAAAGCTAAAGAAGGCAAAACTCGAAAGAGTGTCGAGCTTCAGTTTGATGTAATGTTTGTGATGTAATACATCAACTTTGATGACCCCCCCCCCCCATCTCCCTAAACACGAGCCAGTACATTAAAAAAGTCAGGGGAAAGTGGCCAGGAAATGCTTCAGATTGCACCACAGAGCACACAATCCAGAACTTTTAGGTGGGCCCCGGACCCCACGCCTTCAGGGCTTCGCGCTCTCCGCTCGCATATAACAGAAATTCACTTTAGGATTTAAGGTATATTCCATCATTTGTAATTTGTGCATTTTGTTCGTTTGAAGCCACAAAAGTGCTCAAAATCAGCTGTATATTTCGAGAAAAAACAGCATTTTAGGATCTCGATTTCAAATCAAAAGTTGCTGAATCATGTTTTGAATTGGCCTGAATTCAGCGTCCGGCAAGACACGTTTTCACTGAGCCGATTGCAGCTACGCGAAGTCGCGCACTGATCCGACGAATTATAGCAACGGCGTGCGCGTGTGCATCGTGTCAACGCTTGCGCGCGCTTCGCTGAATATAAAAACGAACTACTACGGAAATTTCTAACGGTGCTTCTTAAAACGCACCGTTGGAAAGGCATTCCTTCGTTGATTTCTTCAAAATGACAGCTTGCCAGAAAGAATAATTTCACAGGGAGTTTAGTCCCCTTGCTATCTTTCAACCAAGTATGTTTTTTCAACAATAATTAAGTCAGTCACTTTTTGGATAGCTGCAAATGATGGACTATAGCTTTAAAGACCCCCCCCCCCCCCGGCTGGGATCAGGGAACGGGCCTGCACAAGGTATGCTTACGTGGGCGTGTACACGCCAGCAGCGTATCGAGCTTTTGATTTCGGGGGGGGGGGGCAACTGCACATCAGCGCCGAAATGTAGACACGTTTTTTGTCTTCGGACACTTGCCCTCCGTAAAATCAAAAAGCGGGGGAGGGGGGGGGGGGGTGTCTGGTTTCCATCTTCCAAATGGGGGCACTCTTCAACACTGACCATTATTATGCATACTACATATCAAATGAAGATTTTCACGGCTCATTTTAATGGTTGTTGAATGGGTTTTCTTTAGGCCAAAAAAAGGTCTCCGGTTTCTGGTATGGAACTTGCCCAAAAAGTGGTGCGGCGATATTATGGGAGACCAGAGAGGGCACATAAAGCTTATTCTCGATCATAACCCCATCTAAAAACACGCTAAAATTGTGCAGCAGCAGGATTCATGTCAAACCAGTGAGTTTGGCGGTTTTGAGACATCATCTTTCATTGAAAAAAAAAAACTTTTTCATTTTGCCGACGCGCATTGCTACGGCGACGCGCGCGCATACCAGAAACAGGAGACTTTTTTTTTGGCCTTAGTGGGATTGATGTCAGAGGAACTCTATAAACATAACTGAAAATTAATTCCATTCAGAGTAATCAACATAATAAACCATTATAATACAGATGTGGGGGAATTAGAAATGGATTTAATTAAGGGGTCTTTTGGGGCGGAAATTATCAATTATTTTGTGTGACGGTCCGTCGGCAAATTTCATGATGACACCCCCCCTTTCAAAATGGTCTAGCGACGCCCGTGGACGATACGCTAGTGAACTTAGTCGTCTAGCGTTGGGTCAGACAAAGATTATTGGCAAAGATCATTGTTAAACATACCTCGAAGTCCAAATTTGAGCCAGATTCCTGCAATATGGCTAAATCGTTGAATGCAGTAAGAAATCTTAGGTTTTTTGTTGTTGTACAGGATACGCTGCAGCATGGTGTAACGAAGAAACCACTGATAACATCAGTCCATGGATACAGGTTGACTTCGTTGACACAGTCACCATCACTGGTCTGATCACCCAGGGGCGTGGAGATAACGACCAAAGGGTGACGGAGTACCAAGTGACGTACAGCGATGACGGTCAGTCCTGGCATCACGTGACTGATGCAGACGGCACAACAATGAAGGTATATAGTCAGGTTGCATACGGTTGGAATCGTGAACGACTGGTCCCAAGCACCAAACTCAGCAGATAGATTCTTATAGCCCTAGTGAAGATATTTAGAAGGGGTGCTCACCCGAAATTCTTTTGGGAAGAGTGCCTAATTTGCATATTAAAGCGTTAATGAGTGCAACTTTAGAGTATAATAGTAGCCATTTTGGATCGTTACTATGTCCTCATATTATTATCCAGTCAGTCTTAAATGCTTTAGCAAATGTTATTGAAGTAAGGATGTGTAAGTGAAATCCCCAAAATATACTTTTCAAAAAATTTAAAAAAAATACTTTTCAAAAAATTAAAAGTGGGAAAACTATATTACACTGTAGGGATTAACGATTTATGCAAATTAGGCACCCTTCCTTTCTTAATTTTTTACTCTAGGGCTTTAACAATCTATCTGCCAAATTTGGTGGTTTGAACCAGTCGGTCACGATCTTGTCCAAAATTGGGTCTAAGCTTTCTGACTAATAGAAATGTTTAAAGGTATCAAAATGTCAAAAGTTGTTTTGCTGACTATGTTACGACATAATCAATAGCGTATCCAGCTCATGATGCGCGTGTGTGTGTGTGGGGGGGGGGGGGGGGAATCGCACATCCACGGCGAAATGTAGACATGGGTTTTTTTCTTCCGACACTTGGCCTCCGTAAAATCAAAAAGTGGTGGGGGAGGACCATCTTCCAAATGAGGGCGCTCTTCAAAACCTTTATTATGCATACTGGAAAATATGTGCCGATTTTCTCAGCGCCTTGTAATGCCTTTTTTTTAGCTGGTTTTCTTTTTTGGGGTTGATGTCAGAACTCTCTAAACATTTACGGAAATACTTACTGAGCAAAATATTTTTCAAAAAATCCTTGGGGGGGGGGCACGGTGCCCCTGCCCCCCCCCCCCCCCCCCCCCCCCCCTGCCCATGGGCGTCGCGAGGGGGGGGCAAGGGGGGGCACTTGCCCCCCCCTGGAAAAGCAAAAAAAAAAAAAAAAAAAAAAAAGGAAGGAAAAAAAGAAAAGAAAAGAAAAAAAAAGAGACGCGAAGACAAAGTGGTGTAAATTTAATGAGTTGGGGGGGGGGGCAAAATGTCCCTGCCCCCCTCTAAAACTGATAAATCGAGAATGTGTTGAGAAATACAAGCATTTTTTGGCAAAATTTTTTTTTGCCCCCCTCTAGAAAACATCCTGGCGACGCCCATGGGCTGCCCCCCCCCCCTCTGGATATGCCACTGGACATAATGAATCCATTCGAATGTCTACAACCTGAACACACCATTCTTCTTTTTTGAACAGTTCCCCGGTAACAAGGACAGGAACACCCTGGTAACTACTCGCCTGCCGTTTGCTTTGCGCACCAGAATCCTGCGCATTCACCCCACTGCGTGGAACCTATATTGCAGCATGAGGTTTGAAGTGATTGGCTGCTATTAGTCAGACTCATTACATTGCCGACGAGTGAGTGAAATGATTTCAACGTCAAAAGGTAGCTCTGTCGTAGAACAAAACAAAAATATTCATGCTTGTAAATACCGGCTCTACTCAAAATTATTTGGTAGTTTGGATGAAATTTGATGAATATTATTAGCTTTTTTTCCTTAAAATTTGTGAATCTATATTTCTGATGCTCTTAAAATGCATACTGGTGAAATCGTTAGTCAAGGTGTACGTGTTGATAATTAGCTGATTGGTAAGACTTTTATAGAGTGAAAACAAACCCTGGGAGTACACTTTAAAAAAGAAAGGCAAATCTCCAGGGAAATCTGGACAGTCGTACAGCAAGGTTGCTTTTTCCTGTGTACTTAAAGGACTTAAAATAATTTTAGAACATGACAACGAATAAGAGACATTTTATGTACGAATTTAAGAAAGAAATATGCTCGTTATAAAAAATGAAGAATTATTATGTGTTAGTTGCTAGAAGGTACGGTGTGTCTAATAATAATAATAATAATATATATAGGTTTTCCCGGCGAATTTCCGAATTTTTCTAACCAGTTTCATTATCAGACATTCAATTTCACGTGAGTTTTGCACATGTGGTCAAATTGGGGTTGCTTTTTCATTTTGGGTTCAATGTCATTTTTAGGCAGCCAAGATTTTGCTCTGAATGTTCGTGTTCGTTTTTGGGCATGCTATTTCGTTTTGGTGCATTCAACACTTAATTTTTAGCAACTTTAAATTAAGTCTTTGCAACCTTTTGACGGTTGACGCATTCAAATAAGCGAACATCTGTGCGCTTATAACATATAACCGTGCTTTTCGTTTCTTATTCGTTTATGGGCAATCGCTTTCATCGTATGGTCATTCAAATTACTAAGATGTTTTAATCGATATGTTTTCTTATTTTCCTCCAAGGTTCATTCCCCCCCCCCAAAAAAAAAAAAAAATCTTGATGACTGTAAAATTTACAATGTTACAAATTAACTGATATGAGGGAAACAAGATGTAACAAAAATAATTAATTGAAGTGACTAAGATAATTTATTTTTCACTGTTGATCTTGTCTACTTGTTTAAACGTTTGATCAAGGGGTATCTTTACGTTGGCACTTTTTTGACGTGCAAGACATCGGGACACGTGTGTTTGGCAACCATCGGGAACACTTCTCTTGCGTTATTTATGTTTTCTAGCGTATGTCTGACCGAACACTTACCGTATTCAAAGGGCCCATGCAAAAAATAGTTTTCAACGCAAACCTTGAAAATACATCTTTGTGTAACATTTAACCTTAATCGCAAGGCATCTACGGATTAAAGACATCAAATATGATTTACGCTAAGGAATACGGACACGTATGAAGTCTTAAAAGATGTTTGACAAAATGTGAAATATGTGTGCCCATTAATGAACATGAATGCCCGATCAACCCTTGCTGCTGGTTATGACGAAATTGAATGAACAACGCGATACTTTTAATATGAATGCATCTTTGATAGAGACGAGTGAAGATAAAAGGCGATAGAATGCTCGGATAGTGAAATTGAATGATTCTTTTTGATTGTCGAATGCCGATCTTCGTGATCTTTCAATTTCAATTTAAATCGAATGAGCCAGGCGGTAAATTGAATGAAAACATGGTGAAATTGGCCGTGAAAACCTATAATAATCGGCATTTAAGAACGCTCTGTTTAGTAAACTAAATCACAGCGCTTACAAATAATGAACAATTAAAGTAAATAAATAATTTAAGTTAAATAATAAAAACAGGTAGCATATACAATGAATTGATTATTGGTGGAATAAATTTGTCTTGATCAGCTTCTTGAATTGCTCGAGAGATTTGGCATTTTGAATGGAAAGGGCAGACTATTCCACTCCTTCGCTGCACTGAGGAAAGTGTATCCAGGAGGAGTGCACTCACCTATGACAACGGCATCATTTTCGTACAGCCAACTCTCAGTGATTGCAATGATGTCTATGTCATGTTCTACAATGTAGTCACATGTGGAAAGTGACTTGTTCCTGAGGGAGTGGGCATTCCAAACACAAATTCTGGAATTGAGTTCATTTGTGTTGTGGTCCTGTTTTGGGATGTATCGTAGGTTTTCATGATTGACACCGCGCAGTTGGTTAACTCTGTGACCGATAACACGGCAAGATGACACAACCTGAATTTGGCTTGCTTCCTTTTCCCAGAACGCTTATCTCTGTGAGACCTGTGTTTTCGTGACAATCCAAGATATTTAATGTTTGTCCATATGACATCAGGCAGCTTCTGAGCTGACTGTAAGTAAACATTTTCCTGCTGGACTCGCAAAAGAAAGGATCTGTCATAAACCAAACGATTGCTAGCAGTTTCTGGGCAATGACTACCTTCAAGATTTTCCTGGGGATAGTCCTGCGTAACTGGCCCTGGGTTAGGATTTACATCCCCAGAAAGAAGTAGTTTTGACTGGAATGTTGAAAAACAGTTGGAATAATAGTGGAATCGTGACCCAAGAAATTTGTACTTTGGTTGTGTATGCAGTTTCTTGTGCACTATGTCGAGACCCAAGTTCCAGTGAAGAGCTGTATCAGCAGTTAATGTGTCACTGTGTCTACAGAGAATTAGTATGGGAGAAATTATTATCTGAAATTTTGTAATTCGGAAAAAAGCATTTGAGAAACACTCGCTCTATTTATTTCATATTAAGCCCAAATCTGGGGGTGGATGCAGCCCTTGAGCTTCTGATTTATTTATGAGACCAGTAAAATGGGGCCCAAAGAAAAGAAAAGGAATTCTAAAGTTCCTATATTCTCAAATAGTGTTATAGAGTGACGGGGAAAAGCATCGTAGATTTCACAATTTTCAGGGCGGGGGGGGGGGGGGGGGGGGGGGCATGCCCCGGACCCCCAGCAGTCACAACCTCTTCACACCCCCCCCCCTTAACATTACCCCCCCCATGTTTTCTGAATGGTAGATCCGCCCGTGAAGCTGTTTGTATTAGCAAATGTATAAGTCAAAAGACTTTTATCAAGGGTATACGCCATCTTGAAAATCAACGCGAGGCATAACGCAAACAAACATGGCGGCGTAACTATTGTGTGCGGTGAACGATTGGCTCTCGCAATATTACAGCAGATTGACATTCTTATAAATGGATGGATAGCTCAATTCCCCGCAACATCAATCAGCATAGGCAGGTCACGTCTTATTGTATTTTGAAGAAGGATCTGATAAATATAAAGCCCAAAACAAGTGGCCAGACTTAAGTTTCCGTGTCTGAGTATAATATGCGTAATTAGCACCGCCGTCAGATCAGAGAAACGATCAAGACTTTTTCTGAGCTGAACATGCATCTGTTTTATTTTTCGTGTTGTCAATAAGTGGAGAAAGTGAATATGCTTCGTCGTGACTTTTAGTGTAGCCGATACATGTGCATGTACAATTATCATGCCAACCAGCGCTTTAAAGGTGGCACATTATGTTCATTCATTGAATGAGGTATTTTACAATATATATAAGTAAAGTACTTCAAGTTACTGCTTCGACTTTTTTGGCCAACATAACACAGAAAAAAAAGTGACCAGAGTTTGAATTGATGGCATGGTATCTTTGTAATTCCTTTTTTTCCTACCCCAAATTATGAAATGTATCCCCGCTCCCATAATTTTGTCTCCTGATTAGACGAGAGTGCATCACGTGGTGATGCACTGTACCATCCATTCTATTCACGAATATTCATGGCGATAAAACGATCGAGACAAACTAAAATAATGGATGTGTGCCCAAAATCAGTGGCGTAAATCCGTGTCGACGAGTGGTGGGAATGGGGGATGACCAGACCGCAAAATCATGAAATTGCCCGCCGTGGAAATGGGAGGGGGGGGGGGCAGGCATCACGATATTCTAGGGGGCGCTGTTCATGAAATTGACATGGAATGCAAACAGGTTATACTTATATCCATCTCAACATGAAATTAAATAAGCAGAGCTACTTATATGACGACTAATAATTGTGAAAGATTGAATACAATATTTTGGGAAAACAAATCCTGTGCAGTGGCTTCGCTTCCTTGCCTTTGAATTTAGTTTTCTGACACACTAATGTTCAGCTTACATTGTCACCTGATTGCATTGACCCTCAGGATATTGTAACTCATGTTGCTGATCACGTGATGCGGATGAGTAACATGAACCACCTGACCGAATCTTTCTCCGCACTGGAATGAACAGAAATGCCGCCGAAGCGCAAACAAAGATGGCGGCGATGACGAGAAGACTGGCGAAATAGCTCCCAGTGACATCAAACAGTGAACCTGACAACAAAGCAAGAGAACAAAAATACGAATAGACGTGTTACTAACACAAATCGAGAAGAACAATCAGTGGTTCATGTCGAGCTTGAACTCAAGCTCATGATCTTCAGTCAGAGTCAAAATAACCGGTCAAAAACCGAGCCCTGTTTATCTGCGTCAGATTCCGTAACACGTGGGCTCAAATTCAATCTCGAACTCAGGCATATGGACTCGAGACCAAGTTCAAATTATAATTAAGAAACAACTGGTTCAGTTAAAACAAGGAAGGCTGAAAAGAGTGAAATAAAAGTGCCAAAAATTACTGTCATTGTTATTACAATTTTGCGACTCGAGCCTGAGTCTGGTCATGTCAAACTGCCTAAGTTTAGTTCGTACCCATTTGATTTAGAAATTGTAGCTTGCTCGAATAAATCTGCAGCTTGAGATGGAGCCGAAGCCATACAGGAGAACGAGGTTTCGAAAATCCCAATGTTACAGTACTGTACCTGATAAAGGAGCACTGACTAGGATCCCGAACCCCGGTGGAACCAAAGTTAGAACCATGACGGTACTTGGTCCATACTTCTCCAAGAACAATTCTGCGCCCGCGGCATACAGTACTCCATACGCTCCCGATCGCAGAAAACCAGATGCTGAAACAGATGTGGTGTTTTAGTCTTAATATAAAACCCTTCGTTTTTTTATACCAGTGATTGGGTGTAGGAAGACCGTGGACCTTAGATAGCAATCAACAATAAATCAGATGTCCTCGGTAAGAAATTTTGTCTGAAATGGTCCACAGTAGTGATTTCCATAGTGCAATTGGGAAAAATTATATTCGAAGATATAGCAACAAGAAAAGTATTACACAGAGGTCCTCGCAAGTGATTTTGCCATTTTGATTGGGAAGTCATGTTATTTGATTGTTAATTAACTTTCAATCCTTCAGCAACGATTACGTCAGGGATTCCTGAGCCTTTTATTAAATACATAAAAAAACCTCTTATCACAATGCTTTTCCTTCAAGTCAGGTATTTACAGAAAAATTTAAGATAAAACGGAGATTGAACACTTA